CCCCAAAACCCCAAAACCCCAAAACCCCATGGTGGGAAAAAATAATTGAATATAATTAAATTGCAAAGTAAGTCATCTAAAATGAGCTCCCGTTTCAAAATATCCGCAAATTCGTAGCCTGAGAGGGTTAAAAACTTTTGGAATCATCTTTACAGTGTTATCTTCACTTTCCATACTCTCTCCAAAGATTTGGGCTCATAGTCCGGCCAAGGTGGCTGCCTCATGGTGGTCTTTTATATCCTACAAATGTTGATACTTTAAGTAGATTAATCAGACTTCTACAACTAATTTCAACTAAATTCCAAATTTTCTTAAATTCACTCTTAGCTGCTCTGTAATAATTTAAATACTCTCAAACTTAACCTACGATATCATATTTCTTAAGTTTTCATTCATGAAGTTTTATTCTAGTGAAGATTACTTCTGCTGCTTCAATTATTTTATAACAGTGGCTGAGCCATTGTTTGGGTAATAATGGCTAGCAGGTGAGGGTGATAGGTGAGGGTGATAGGTGAGGGTGATAGGTGAGGGTAGGGAAAATGGATTTTAGAAAATTTATTAGTGGGATTTAGTAGGCAAGGGGTGGTGGAAGAGAGGGGTGTTAAGGACTTTAGGGGATAGGAGGGATGGGAGGGAGGGATGGGAGGGAGGGATTGGGGGATTGGGGTTCAGGTTTTTTTACAGAGATTTTAGTGATAGAGTTGTAGGGGTAGGGTTAAGGTCAGTGCAGACTTAATGGTGAGCGTTATTAGTTAAGTTATTGATTGATATTGGCTGTTTATGTGCTTTAAGCTAGGACTTGAGTTTTTGCTGTTGAAAATTTATGATTTTTCAGATTTATAAAATAGTGTTTCTTTTGAATGAGCTAATAATTCTGAATTACCAATAGATGCTCATAAACCTCTCTAGTCATTAATACACATGAGTCCTGAAGGTCAGCTTCTTGTTTGGGTTTTTGTATGAAGCAACTTAACTTATGACTAGAAATTTATAAAATTGAAGCATGAAGGAATTTAAGATAATAGGGTGATAGCAAGAACCAATTTTAATTTTCCAACAATATATTTTATGTTTAGAATCGACTTAAATAAACTTATCCTTTGGCTTGACGTAATACTTAATTTCTACGTGACAAATTTTTGAGATATATCTACTTATTTACTCTTAATTTCAAAGCTGGCCTAGATTAAGGCCATTCAAGAACTTTTACATCGAGGCTCCCGGCAGGGAGTCTCCTGTGGGGTAATAGACTAGGAAGGAAATCAATGTTTTGCTTGAAGAGTTTGAAATTTTGGTCGTGAAGTTCAGGCATATATGAGAAAAATTGGGTTTCCCTTTGAAGATTTGTATGATTCAACGGGTTTTTGTCTTCTTGAGATGCTTGTCATCCTTAATGATGCTTCTCTTGTTAGAGAATAAATTTGGAGAGGAGTGGGCTTGTTGGGTTCAGCTTAATTTTGATTATAATTCCTCCAATGATTCTAACTTTCAGGTTTGAGATTGACTTGTAAATTTTCTTGATTGATATTTTGATATTTTGATAATTCGATAGAATTCTTTTTATTAGATAGTTGATCAAAAATGAAGAAGTTGCTGCACTAAAATGTATATCAACTATTTCCATGCTGATGGGCATGATTATTTCAACATAGCTTTTATGGCCTATTTGGAAATCATCTTGCTTCACCATGTAGATAATTCAGGCTTTTAGTAACTTTGGGATAAGAGTAAAGATCTTGAAGTGATAGTGTAGAATTCTTTGATTTTTCTTAGTAAAATTTCTTGTAAAATATAGATAAAATGTGTCTAACATTTTTCATACTATGAGCAAAGTCATCCAACTACTATTATTTATAAAATAGGAGTTTGTTCAATCTTTTCAAAGTCTTTTGATTAGATTTTTGGCCGGGATTTAGCTTAAAATAAACCTTTCTCTTTAATTTACCGTTACATCTACTTCAAAATTAAAGGCAAATTAAACATTTGTTTTGATTAATTTGAATTGGATGGCCATTGTTAGAAGCCAGGATCGGCATCATTGAATGCAATACTTCAATCTCTAACTTTATTTAGATTCCACAATGAATAAATCTAAATATGAAGTAAGCTATTCTCAATATTTACCAAATCTGCTTCACAAAGACTAGCCTAACTTTTCTAGCTCAAGCAACAATTTTCATGGACCAGGAAGTACAATTACGGAACATGGTCTGTTTCAGAGCATGATCAGTTTGTTTCATGTATCTTGCTTCAATCTCACAATCTAGGTCTCAAGACCCATGGTCTGAACTGGCCAATGCTTAGGCAAATGGTAAGTTTTCTCTACTAACAAAAGATCCCGACTAGGACTCGAAAACAGATCGAGGCACACCTCAAAGGGTATTTTACCCAACTTAAGAAGCACTATGGAGTGGAAGACCCTCTGCAGTATACAAGTAGGTTAAAAAGTGTCCCAACGAGGCCATCTAGCTCTGTTAATGGTTTTCTCAGGGGCTAATTTAAGCCCTCAATTTTAATCCCACTGAAAAATTAGAAATTGTCTTATTAAATAGGAAACCGGTTAAAGAAAATTTATGATTAATAAAAAAATTGAAATTTTAGGTGCTTTGTGAGTCATTAGATAGGCGGGTTCCACCTGAGTAGTGAAAATTTTGCTGTGGTTGAAAGGTCTACTTTGGATTTATAGGAGTTATGGGTGGAAAATTAGGAGACTTGTCTTGGATATGACTGATTTTAATAGTTTCAGGTTAAATTAAAGCTTTAATATTAGTATGTAAAATAAAATTTCATAATTGAGTAACATAAATGATAATGAGTTAGTAGCCCAAAATAATGAGCCACTAAATAAACATAATGATAAAACCAACCATAACTCAGATAATGAACTGAAAGCTTCTAAGCCCTGCCAAAGAAGCAGGATTGATCAAGGATATCAGTCTGAAGCTGATAAAAGAGTTCCTTCTAGTTCTCACTCGAAAGTTGAAGAGCAAAAACACCCAACAAGCCAGTCTAAAAAGCGTGATACTAAATATTCAGAAAAGCTTAGAGAGAGTGATGACTCAGCTATCATTATCACAAAACAAAAATGTGTTCATAAGGAAGTATCAGTTTTGAAGATAGTCAAGAAGAAAGGAGTCACTGAAGTCAAAGAATACATGCATCCATCAAGGTACTGAGTCCCACTAATTTCCTTGCCTTTGACCTGTTCTTGGGATGGTAATCCATGTTGATATTTACTAAGTGTTCGCTTAATAAAAATTATTAATTATGGGGATGAACTAACTTGTTTTTAGATCTAACAGGAAAAATTACAGATCCCACTCAGATATATCTGTTCCAAACAATCTTGAAAATATAAATGATAGAGAACCCAGCGATGCCAAAAGCTATCTGATGTTGGGAAAAGGAAAGGGAAGAATTATTATCTCAGGAACACAAATTCACACAAATACTCCTTGAGATGTCACAACAGCTAATTCTGGAACATCCCTTGTTATTCCAAATGGAAGTGTTAATATTAGCATTGCCAAAATTTCTCAAGATAGCCAATTTGGGCCTGGAATTAAGCAAGTCTCAGGATTAGCCACTAGCGCAGAGCATCAGACAGATTTCTCCCAAGGCCATAGACAGTTTCTAGACGCTAAAGATACAAACATGAGCTCTTTTATGGCCAAGGAAGATTTCTTGCTGACTTCGGTTGTTAATTTACTCAGTCAACATTACTGCTTTAATGACTGCGAATCTAACTAATTTGTTGACCAATAGAAATCTTTAATTTCAATCCCCTAAATTAATCCTGGGGTTTTGGGGTTTTGGGGTTTTGGGGTTTTGGGGTTTTGGGG